CACACACACACACACACACACACACACACACACAAACGAACATATGACGTTTCTCGTGGAAAAAATCGATATGTGAGGCTTCCCTATAACGGAATTATTTGTATATAAACAGAAACATCGTGCTCCGAAAATATAAGATATATATTATGACTAGATGATGAGAGTGTACAATTGGATGGGAATACTGGAGAACGTCGCCATTGAGGTAATTGCGAAGTGCGAGTCAGTGAAATGTAAAAAAGAACACATATCCATATATAATTCATTCATTGATGATTTGAAAGTGTACCATGAGAAACATGAAGAACTGAAGATATATACAATTGTCTCACTTTTTTTTAGGTAACTTGGCTGCTTAAATCACATGCATGGTTATAATATATACAACAATATATAATAATTATTGGTAGGAACATATATTTTAAACGGGCTTGTCCATGCTTGATTTCTGCAGCAAAATATGCATGTATGGCAATAGATATCTGCATTCCAGTTACGCGTTTTTCAGTCATACGTGCGTACACGCACGTAAAAGTTGAATTCGCTTTACATCCTACTTATGAAATAACTAAATTTATAAAAGGACAGCATTCAGTTTTGGGTATGATTTAATGTGTATTTGTAAGGTTATTTGCACTTATATGAAATTTTAAGCGAATTCAACTTTTACGTGCGTGTACGCACGTATGAAAAACGCGTAACTGGAATGCAGCCTTAAGTGTCATTCATCATTCCAATGAAAGATTTGCATTCTTTATCAAATACGTCGAGCTAGGGAGCTTATAGAAAGATTTACAAATTTTACAGTTAAAAAGAATTAAATCCAGTTCTCGCTAACTTTGTTATGTTTGGCGTTCTTCCTGTTAACGTTGTTTGTGACGTTTGATTCAAATCCCACAGTTAGTTGAATTACGTAGAGCTGTTCGTTTAAAGTGGATGGCGGTAAATCTGGACGATATTCTGCTCCCGTTATAATTGAAGGGCTTTCAAATCCAAGATGGTCAACAAGTAATTTACATTTGTTTATCGTCTTATACGTTTTGGCAAAAAAATTTAGCATGGTAGGTAGGTATGTAGGTAGGTCAAATCCGACAGTTAGGGGCTGATTACATGGAGAGTTTTCAGCCCGGGCTGAGTTTCAGTCCGGTTAGGTTAAACGAGCTGAAATTGCATCACGATTACATGAGCAGTTTCAACCCGGGCTGAGTTTAGTCAGAGCTATATTTATCTTCAACCCGGGCTGAAATGTCAGCCCGGGCTGAAATACTCTGAGTGTCACGAAATAGGACAATAAGCGTGTCAGTGGCGTGCTGGCAGGGGGGGCCGGGGGGCCACGGCCCCCCCAGCTGGCAATTTTTGGGGGGCGCAAAAATGAAAAGGGGGCGCCGATCCCGCGCCGAATTTAGAAAGTAGGTGGGAAGAAACGCATTCGAAAAAATATAGTTACTAATTCCGCCAAGGAAAGATGTGTTTATAGACTTATAAACATACTAAGCGCATAGGCGACAAAGTGAGTATATTAAATTGCAGACTATTTTGTCTAACCGTATACGTATTTGCTACCTCACGACTCACACGAAATCACTCGTTCATATAGAATACATGATCAGTGATCACACGCAATGTCTCATTACCGGAATATTGATCAGGCTTCGAAGCGATCACGGGAATTATGCCCTTTTTTGCTGGTCATTATACCCTTATATTATGCCTTTATTATGCTTCACGAATCACGAGAGCGGCGCAAATTAGATAGTTGAAGTTATGATAATGTAAAGTTGTGTACGCAATTTAGTTGTTTGCGCAAGAAACATTATGAGTAATGTAAGTAATGAGATAATGATGAAACACGTCCTTTTAGCAGCCATGCAAGGAAACCTTAAAATGCATATGCGTGGGGTCCGTGTGTTATCGTATAAAAGAGCTGTAAGTTGTAAATGTATTCAGATCAGTAGAGAATAGATCAATTGGGATTAGATTAATTGCTGGAAGTAGTTAGCATTGCCCAATTTAAGTGCTACTACTAAATTCTAACCAATTTTAAAATTTCGACACGTTGTAATGCCGTTTCCTGACCATCAGATTTCTGTCAAATCTTCCCCCAAAGTCCAGGAAATGGCAGTTCAGAGACTCTAAATTCAAAAATTTTCCTGGGGGGCATGCCCCCGGACCCCCCTAGACAAACCTCGCACCTGCGGCGCTCGGCTCGTGCCTTCGGCCCTCGTTTATCAAGGGTAATATTATAGGGGCGCATATTAGTTGCCAGCCGACTAGCCCCCCCAGAAAAATAGTACCCAGCACGCCACTGAAGCGTGTTACGCTTCTTTGAGGCATTCAGACGCTGATTAGTCCACCATTGACTTGTGTGAGACTGTGGTTATATATAAAGTATTTAAAAATTAAACAAACACGCAAAATAAAGCCATTTAAACGGTTGTTTTTTAGCCCGGGCTGAAATTATTTGCGATTACATGCATGCCGGGCTGAAATTTCAGCCAGGGCAGCTCAAACCGGGCTGAAACTCAGCCCGGGCTGAAAACTCTCCATGTAATCAGCCCCTAAGTACGAGACAATAATAATAATATTAATAATATCATAATAATATAATAATGATAATAGCTGAGTATATAATTGTACATTTGTACACTGCATGATAAGGTCCGGCCATTATCTCTTTAAAACGGTCATTATTGCTATTTTAATTGTTAAAATTAGGTCTATATATGTGATGTAAAACAGTGCTCCTGGTATTGACCCAACTAAACTTTAGTGGAAACGTAGACATGATATGGATAAAACATTAGCTATATAGTATATACGCAATACAATGTGCGATACACAAAAAATATTCATTGTCTGACAGTAACGTAAGGACCTCTAAGGTCAATTGCTGATTAGTACTGATTGCTGAGTGTACTAAGGATCCAGCCTCGTCCCAGGCGCTTTGATGTGCTAAGCGGTTGCGTGACGCACGCGCGGGAATTGAGGTGCGTAGCTTTCCTCCACGCGTGTCCTCCCGCGCGCGCGTCACGCAACATCAAAGGGTATGGGGCTGGTAAGGATCCTTTGTCTGTTTGAAACGGTAATTGAATTAATTAATTGTGCATTTTCTCATTCTTCATCGTCTTTCGTTTTCAGTTTCTTCATACATAAAGTATGCATATCCATGATTGACTGTATAACTTTAGGATCACTCACGAACTCCAACACATCAACACAGTTCTCATAATATATATTCAATACCGCGTCGATATTCCCCTTTAAGAAATACAGCTGCATAATATTGCTACAAAATTTCATGCGTAAGTTAGTGTCCTGAGACAAATCTAGCAATTGAAGAGCATAATCGCAACAGTCTAACGCCTCGTCATACTGCCCGTTTTCTTGGAAATTTTCGACCAATTTTAGGTTTTCCATTGCTTGTTCAACTCTTCTTTTCGACGACTGGTCAGCTATAAATGCATTACTTTCAGAAGCTTCACAGCCAGGATAACGTCGTTCAAATTCGGTCAGTTCAATGTACTCTACTTGGGTATCGTCCAGTCTTCTTTCGCTAGTGTTTGCAAATGCTCCCTCTTGGAACAAAACCTCATTGGTTGGTGTCTCATCCAAGTAGTCATCTTCACTATCTACTGAAGAACTTTCAGAATTGGATCCTTCATTTTTCCCACTGAAGTCGGCTTCGCCGTTTCGAAGATTTTGTTCACTTTGATTATTCATTTCCACACTTTGTTCATCCATAGGTTTTATTCCTTTCTCAGGAGGGATTTCGGTATCTGGCGAATGGTTGTAATCGCGATCCTTGTTTGGTGCGCTGTAGGTATGTCCTTCGGAATTATCCATTTCAAGTTTATTCGCAAACAGAGATCTTCATAACCTGTTGAAACATTTTAAAATTTCGTAAATGTTAGTATATTGCAAGACAACAACAGTGGAGGCGGAACAGTTCTTATTTCGGGGGAGGGGGCTAATTTTCATAAATTTCCCAGACGTATATATAATGGGGGAGGGGAGGGGCGGCTTAGCTCCGCAAAAATGTGTTATTTCAAATTTCACGAGAACAAATGTTGGCAATTCACGGCTCACGAAAATACCCTTTACCACCCTCTTTCCCTTTCTGCTATTTATAGTGCTAATATCAAATTCTAAATTTACTAAAAAAGCGTGATAGAGGTCTATTGTGGTGACGATCGAGTGAAGTGATGTGTACTATGTCTATGGATATTGTGTTACAATATGTGGCTCAGCAAGCGCTATTTCCGAGTTATTAGATGAAATATTCTGGCCTTCACAATGATTAATTAGAAAAATTGGCATTTTATAGCAATACATAGGCTACTAAGCTGTCGAGCAAGCAAAGTCGTGGCGAAAAGGTACAGAGATTTTAAAGTTTCCTGAATAAATATTAACAAAACGTTTACTTCCGTGTCTATGTCTGTGAACATATCTACTTTAGATATTTAACTATTCCTGTTCCTTAAGCATCAATTGAATTGGTGAAGAAATCGCCACAAAATTCGCCCGATTAAACAGTTTATTGGCTTAACGTGAACTATTACACTAAACTGTTATAGATAGAGTCTACTGTGCTGGCTGCTGGGCAGCTTTCACTTTCGCTTCGAAGTCCTGAAAATTGTATTGCTCAATTTGTAATTACATATAACATATAGTTCCGCGAGGCGTTGAATCACTTATTGGCCCTCATCCCGCTACATCCAGTCCAGTTAACGATGTTACACCTGACGCCGATATATACTCTCAATAGAAACTTATATAGTAATATCGCAATGTAAAGCTACTGAGAAGTTATACTTTCAAATTTCAATATATGCACGTACTGTATATATTACAAAAAGATTATACATCAATATACCTGGTTAGTTAAAAGCTTTGTCTGTTTCAAAGCAATATCTTTACGAAGTGTTAAGCAACTCGCACAGCCTTCTCTTCAGTTGTCAACATTGAGCCAACATAAACGTAATACGGTGATAGTCATACGGCACATAAATGTATTCTGCGAAATTGAAATGCAAATTCATTGTAGCCTCCGTGCGGGGATTTCCTTACAGGTAAATTCCCTCTCATATTACATGTACATACGTATGTTGTATTTTTGTATCCGCGCTCGCGCAGTGTGTTGCGTAGCTTGTAGCCAATCGACAACAACAAGTATAATTTAGAATTACGTATTGTAATATAGCTTTAGGGCCTGTTCATATGGGCAGAAGTTATCCCGGATAGCGAGAAAACTTTTCGACAAGTTTACGAGCGAGATCTCGCCTTGTTACGAAAATAATATGAAAGGTTACATTGCGTTCATATGAGACGAAAATTTTTCCCGTGTACCGAGATCTCGCTTGTTGACAGGCGAGATCTCGGTGAGCGGGATAATGTTTTCCCCATATGAACACAACTTTCCCGCTTAGCGGGATAACTTTTTGTCGTGTCAGCAACTTTTCAATTCAATTGATGTTCAGTGCTACGTCACAGCCGAAAACTTTACCCGGTAAGCGGGATAAAGTTTCTCTATATGAACAGAACAAAAGTATTTGGCTAGTCGAAAAGTTTTCTCGTTAACCGGGATAACTTTTGCCCATATGAACAGGCCCTTAGAACACCGTAATGATATGTGAAGCATCTGATGATCAAGATATAGCTATGTTCGTTGATGATAGTACATTGTCCGAAGTCATTACCATAACTCAACATTCATCTGGTAGCCCAATTGGTAACACCCAACGAAGTGTAAATAACGTAGTGCAATTTGCAAAGGATGAGAGTATGGAACTGAACGGAAAAAAATGTAAAGAAATGCTAATTGATTTTCGGAAGAAGAAAACAGAAATACCACTGATTAATATTGGCGACGATAAAATATCCCGTGTAAAGTCGTATAAATTGTTAGGAATATGGATAGACGATGACATGAGATGGCGCTAAGCGACTCTACCTCTTGAAGATTTTAAAGAGTTATGGTGCACCAAAAAATGACCTATTAGCTTTCTATTGTACAGTAATTCGTTCTGTTCTGGAGTATGGTGCACAAATCTGGAGTGGTGGTCTGACACAAATGCATAAGAAAAACATAGAAAGAATCCAAAAACGAGCCCTCCGAATAATTTATCCTGGCCTTTGTGATTATGGACTTCTATTATCTCAGAGCAATCTGCTGACCTTAGAAGAACGCAGAAACAATTTATGTGCCTCCTTAATTGAGAACATGTTACAACCATCAGGGACGCTGGAACTGGGGCAAGGCTGACCCCCTTGCCTTTTGCTAGGGGGGCAGGGGGGGGGGCAGAAGTGCCCTTTTAGTTGTAAAATACTACGTGATAAATCACCATTACAACGATGATTTTTGTACGAAAATCATGAGATTCAGACAATTGATAGTTTATATTTGCCTTTTGGTATGTCCGGAAAAAATTTTTGACCCCTAAAATGGTAAACAGCCCTGTAGTTCATGCTATTAATGAATATAATTTTAAATTAGACTCATTACAACCCGCACGAAAAAAATCACAGCGTGAACCGCACTAATATAGTGCGGATCACGCTGTGATTTTAGGCCTCGCCAACACTTTGCCTGCAACTGCAGAACACCATAGACTGTCATCAATCAAGGAAAACTGATGTGAGGGAGAAGTTGAATATTATTTTTAATGCCTAACGCAATGATATTTGATTACAAGCTTGTTCACAAGGGGGCCAAATATTATAAAATTGATTCAACTAAAATAGCTCGCAGAATAAAACACAGGTGTACCCCGTTGCGATTGTCAAACGATATGTGAAGTAGTTAGCTCTACTGTATTCTATAACTCGGCTCTTAAAATGTGGCTCTTAGACGATTGCAGCTTATCGAAGGTATAGGTCACCAGCAAAGTTTGCGCATAAAATCACACTCAGATGGAACATAAATTAAATATAATGATGTCATGCACTCCTTAAGTTTTTACGTTTTCATAAATCTATCATGTAGTAGTTATAGTGACTGCTGTGTCCTGCGTGTGTCTGATTTAGTTTGAATTGCATGATATTTTAGACAACACGAAATAATTGAGAAAACATAGGCCTATACATAGGCTACATACACACATACATGCATAACATATCTCAAGTCAAAATATACCCTCTCAAGTCAGTAGACAGTATTCAGAGCTGAAAATGGCACATATATATTGCATGGGCATACTGTAGACTGTTTTGACCTGTGAAATTAATTCTATACCAATATGTTCTCATTTTAATCAGTCATTTGAGGACGTTCTATTAGCTTCCACTGGTTAAGAAAAGATGGCACATCTTCATAACCTACCAGCAAAATATGGCACATATTTCTGGCACAAGAGTTTTCACTAAGTAGAACCTCACACGGGTATATTCTCTACAGATTCCACTGGTTAAGAAAAGATGGCACATCTTCATAACCTGCCAGCAAAATATGGCACATATTTCTGGCACAAGAGCTTCTATACTGAGAGAATACAGCGCATAAAAAACACGAGTCATAAATATACGGTATAGTTATACAGTAGTGTCAATAACAATATGTCAAAAGATCGTTTTACCTATATACATATTGTTTTCATTCCAAGGTCTAGCACAATACATGCATGCCATACATGCAATATAAAAACCAATTTGTTAGCCGTGAATGCTGAATATAGCTCACTTATAGTTATACATGTATAGCTATACATCAATACATCATCTATACACGTTGACTGAGTACGGCATATTGAGTACCATATTGGTGTCCTAGTAATAATTCTCTCGTTTATTTTTACATGCCCGGCTCCATACAACAAATACAAGCTTTTTAGTACAGCGCGATCATACCCTTAGGATCGGATCATATTTTTTGCACCACAGCCGGCACAGGATATATTTGCCCGTTACAATTTTAATACACGCATCTCCAATTTTATGTTTCATAAATCTACACATGTACTTATTTTCTTATAAGTTCACATTTATGCAAATAACAAGTAGTTGTTTATTATTTGTTATATATCCTTAGTTTCATCAAATACAACATAGGCTGCTTTTAGAGTTTTCAAGTCCGAACATTGTGCCAACAACACGAGGCCATCACATTATCATATTTCACACTATACTTTTTGATCTAACATTTAGGGACTATTGCGGCGTTTCGTCCTTCATGGACTCGTCAGCAGGGATTTGGGATTGGTATATGTGTGAGAAGGACACAGAATACAGAAACCGATTTGGATTACAGAGTGAATAAACATAAAAATAGCAATACATGCGTATGATTATTGTAAAATAAAAATGTAACTATATAAACTGTCTTACCAAATTCGCTGCCATTTTTTGTCAAACCAACTTACCAACACGTTGCCGTTGGACCATGGTTGTAATTTCTCAGGACTGTTGTATAACTATAGCGCTTATATATATCAATTGCGATTGTACTAACTATGCGTTGGATATGTGTGAATGGCCCTTGGCTAAGCAATTTTTTCCGTTAGAGCCATTGCTAAAATTCCAAACGTCGAGACGGTAACGACGTACGTCACTTCTTTGTCTTGTACCAGAATCCAATCAATTGAATGGTGCGAGATTTCCATCGCTGCCGTAAACATCTTCGAGCTTGAGTTTCGAACGTCTCCCGCCAATTTCTTGAACGCAATATTCTGTTCTTGGTTTCGATTCGGTTGGTAGCCATGCAAAGAGTCACTGAACGCGCACCAATTTGTCTTTGGATCAACATACAGTTCTAACAAATACTCGATGATATCGCTTCGTTGCAAACAAATCGAGTATGATGTTAGTTTGGTCGTGCAATACACAAACGCACCATGTCTGAGCCATACTCGTTCGCGCAATTGAATTTGGCGCGCTATAGCGCATATGCAGCCTTTGCCATTGGTATCAGTGTTGACAGCTAACTTCACTATATTCATTTAATAATCGTTAGATTTTAACTATTTGCATTTTTAAATATTAATATTAGAGGTTAAAGAGGTATAGAATATCAAATCAGCTTGCTCATTAACGCAATTTGTACACATGCGTCTGTCAACAGAACCTACACCTGGCTCAGCCATGCTATGGTAACGAACACCTCCAGATTTAATTACTTCATACATCGTGCGGGTTGTACATATTTATACAATTCCATATATATATATATATATATATATATATATATATATATATATATATATATATATATATATATATATATATATATATATAAA